AGTAACCCAATCCTACCAAGATTGCATTACCTAGCTCTATAAATACATGTCCTCTATTCATTATTCAAGTGTGGTTTTTTACATTCAATTCATATACTTACACCTATATTTCTCATTTTCACTAACTTAAGCATTGAATGGGCGACGTTGACGTTCTTCATTGCCTTTGTTTCAGGTCTTGGAGATCCCGCTCATGCTCATTCCTGGTTGCCAATTTGCAATTTAGCTTCTGAGAAATGTTTTAGCAGATGTTCCACATTTCCACCTTTTGGTGAGCACAAACCCTCTGCCAAATAATCATGTTACGGTGAAGGGAAATAGGGAAATGATATAACCGCTAAATCCTACTCTCGATCCATAACTTTGCCTGTAAGTTTTTCTTTATCTTCTCAATATCTAGCTCGTCAGTATTCTTTCCTTGACGTACGAAATTTCTCTTATTAAATGAGTGTTTTCAAGTGAATATCATACGCTTACTTTTTCATTGCAATTTAAGATATTTACTTACAGCTGTTTACTTGGTTCAACATGAATTACACTATCTCTCACATACAAATTGATGCTACAAAAAATCTGCACCTGAGAAATCTCGAGTTTGACAACAGTAGATGAACACGAACAGAATTTCCAATACCTGAAACAAAGGCATCGATGTGTATCTTCGTTGCCCGTCCGATGCTTAAGTTAGCAAAAAGAGAATTTATGCAAAAGACTAAGAAATAAAATTATGTTAAAGTGTACCTGAATAGTGAAAGTAAGTCAAGTACTTATAGAGGTAAGTGGAACAATCAAGATGGGATTAGATTTCCTGATACTTATCAGTTTAAGAATCATAGATTGTGTAAAACTCCTATAAGGATAGGATGATTTGAACTTTATTGGGACTCTAATATAGTTGAAGTTGGATAAGCTTAAAGTTGTGCAAGTAGAGTCCTGCTAGGTCTAGTATCTTCACTTGGAGATACAACTAAGGCAATGATTTGAAGAGAATTCAAATCGTTTGGGGATACCTAATCAGGCATCAACCTCGAGGAAGTCTTAAAAAAAACCTTCTCAACCAAACCTCAAGCTCGGGCATGCGACCTCGAGCGTTATCATAATTCACATTAATATAGTTGAAGTATGGAATTTATGCCACATTTTAGTTTTAATGAATTGTGTTTGATTGTGAGAAAATTTGTCTCTATCGTTATGTTAGTTTTTTTTTTTTATGTAATTGACAAATCTATGAACAAAAAAAACTAGATTTAATGTATTGTAAAAGTCAATGAGTAAGTTTCAAATAATGTTAATTGAGTTGTATTAAGTCTAAGGTTCAAGAATGGAAAGAAGAAAAGAACAGCGCCGCATTTTCACTAGGTAGTGCCAGTGGAGCGCGAGGTAGTCTTATCTGACCTTTCCCCGACGTCGCTACCATTTTCACTTCTAGGGGGTTGTGATCCTTTACTCATAGATTTGACACCTCCTTCTAGTATACTTATTCACGAGTTTTTATGCTAACATTCACGATGTTAGCCGTTCCACCTTTAGGGAATTTCTTAGGGGTAAGACGGTTAAGATCATTCATGATGTCATGTCTAGTATAGCCTATATTCCTCGAGTCGTTCACCCCTTATTTTCATATTTGTCTACCGATACCCTTTCGATGAATTCTCTTGTCCGTTCGACAGTGTTTAACACACCATTGGAAGGAGGTTCTAGTGCAATCCGCATTGACTCTCTCCCTACTAATCGCCAGATTCTGTTGCGCATTGTGTGCACGAATATGTGACCTGTATCACATACTTCTTCATTGCCTATGGAGAAGGCTTGTTTCTTGCATGCTTTATTACACATCGATTCTATTGATCTACCCCCGTTTATTTTCCAGCAGATTTTGCGTACTTTTTGTGTTATGAAGACTAGGGTAGGGCTTCCTTATGCATGTTTGATCTACTGCCTTGTGACCGCACTTGGTGTTAGTCTTCTATATGGGGTTCTTAGGAGGGTTTCTCCACTGATTGGCTATACTATCATTTTCATAGTTGCTAGGTTATCCCTTGTCATTTGTGACAAAAATGGGGAGTAGTATAGATAGTATATATTTTGATTGATATTAACACTTATAGTACACGTAAAAATGTTTGCCAGCTGATCCTATTGATGACCCCACTTCTGTTGACCCCTCCGATTTTCCTGTTTCTACTTCTTTCTATCCCTCCATCTGGGTCTATTCCCATTGATCCGTCTTAGCACTTGTGGGATAGATGACTGTGCTGATTAAGCAACAGGTCACACTACAAAGTTGCTACACTTTGCAGTGCTGTTGATTATCTTCAGCGAGTGTTGCGATGGATTCGTTGACATTAGGATGACGGTGCAACTTCTGATGATGGGGCTGATGATGCTGCATAGTTGCTAGGTTATCCCTTGTCATTTGTGACAAAAATGGGGAGTAGTATAGATAGTATATATTTTGACTGATATTTGAAATTAACTTTTAATGTTACAATTTTGATTCGAAAGAATATAATACTCGTTTAAGTTAGACTAAGTTTTGATGTTTCGTGATATCAATGTTTCTTTTGATATGTTGGTTTACATTGATATTGCATCTTAATTTAACTTGTATGATTTAATGTATCTTATTTTAGCTGGTATGACTAATGATTAACTGTTTGAATTGTGCTTATCCATATTACCGTTTCACGTGCTTTTACACTGGGTATTGAGTTGTCTGTTTCAGGAAATAGGTTTACAAAGAAAAAACACATTATAGTCAAGATAGTTGGCTTAATAGTAGTAGTTGTCTTGTGTATGTATTTTTAGTACCTTAACATTAGATTTTTAATTTTGTCACAAAACGCTAAAGGGGAAGCTAGTTAAGTTTTTAATATAATTGGCAATTCTATTAATAGAAATGATTAGATTTAATGTCTTGTAAAAGTCAATGAATAAGTTGCAAATATTGTTAATAAAGTCGTATTAGGTTTAGAGTTCAATAATGGAAAGAAGGAAAAAACGGCGTCAAAATTTCACTAGACTGTCGCCATGTCCTTTCTCGAGCGGCAGAAACAAAAACATTGTCACTAGCATGTCGCCTTGCCTTTGATCGAGCGACGCACTGTTGCTCGCTTGTCGCCCAACTTTCGCTCGAGCGACAATGTCATCCGTAAAATTTTAATTCGTGCTTTTTAGTCTTTTTATTCGGCTCATTAAATCATAAACCTATAGTATAAATACCAGCATACCTCAGAACGATTTTTTAAAGATTGAACATTGAGAGAACATATATTTCTTATTACCTACTTCATAAAATTCATTTATAGCTTTCAACTTTCGTTGTTCGATTTGTTCATGGCGGTGAAAATATCAAACCCACTTAATTCAAATACCAAATTGCTTACTTTCTAAGCATTCGTCAGAGTTCTGAAGATCAAGGGAAGGTGATCGGAGTTCCAGTTGTTGTTGGAGAATGCGGTTCTTCGTTTATCCACGGGAGATAGACGAATTCATAAAGTTAGAAGTTGGTACATGAGCACGCAATTCAGGAGGATTCTGAAAACTACAGCTGAGAGTTGGTGCAGGAGCACACAATCCAGGAGCGCTGTGGGAATTGCAGTCAGGAGGTCGGAAAATATTAGTGGTAGTCGTGTCTGGCGGACTGTAAGTTCATAATTCGTTTATAGTGGGTTGTTGACTTACAAAGCGCTCATTTTTTTTTTACCCAATTGGAGTTTCTGCGTGATCATTCTGGTTGTTTATTTATTGCTTTCATATAATTGCGGCAATCCAATTTACGAAAATTGACTTGATTGATTAATAGTGACTTGTTGCTTGTTAATTATTAATTTTTGATTCCGTATAATCACCTATTCACCCCCTCTAAGTGTAATTTGGATCGAACCTCGTAATTTCACGTTAGATACCATTTTCTTTGGAGTCGGGGATTTTGTTTCCGAAGGATTTCATTGGATATATATAATTACAATTGAGCGTACCTTTTTATAGTTGCTATGTTATCATTACTTTCTCCTTGATACTATTTTCTGAGACTCCTTCGAAGCTAGTATCTGCCATAAAAGGTAGCCGTGAAAAGCTGGGAACGCCACCTCAGAGGCTATCGTTTACATGGTCGCCGGATGTGTATGATCCACCTTCTAACAGCTGTGTTGCATGTATTATCGAACAAGAATCAGAGCCATCAAAGTGATAGCAAGAAGTCTGGGAAGAACAAGCAGAAGGGTGGAGGCACATCTTCACGAGGCAGCAGAGGCATAGGCAAGAAGCAAAATCTGAAGAATTCAGCTCAGATCCATTGCATGGAAGTAGTTTTCTGAAAAAATCTGTCACAAAGTTGCACTTCTACATGAGAACTTGTCTAAACTGGTAAACTGTCATCCCACTGATGTGAATAAATAATGATGATGTTTTGTTGAGCAGTGGAACTTGTGCTAGAAACCTTGGAAGATGTTTTTACGATTGTATAACTATGATGAAAATTTGACTTAAGAAAATTTCAAACTAGCCTTGTGGACTGAACCAATCTTTTAATTGGTTATAACAATCAATAAAATAGAAATGATAAAGAAAGAAATGCACTTTCTTAACACAGGATCCAGAGTTTTTCGAGAAAAAGTCCCTTCACTCAATATCATGATCAGGTCGACCAGGCTTAGATCATGGATGAATAGAAAATCGAAATTTTCAAAAGTAGTTGTTCCAGCCTTCTTTCTAAACCACTTGTCCTAGGTATAACATAAATTACCTGAAATCTACACCAATAATTTAATGCAGTCAATTGTAAAGCAAAGTGACAATTGATACAAGCGTTCGAGATAATACTATCCCTGGCTCAACAGTAGTTCAAATGCTCTTAACAAGGACAGTAGTAGTGCTGCAGTTGCAACCATTGATGTTTCGCCCAAATACATTGTTTATTATTCTCTAGATTAAAAATATACCAAAAATATCTCAATATCTTCTAAGAGCATCAACCAGACCATCCTAAAGTCCTGTTAGTCGCAAAGAGATTTTCAGTAGGCTTTGGATTGAGATGTAGGTCTTGTTGAGGAGGTTGTCGAGGTGGAGAAGGAGGCTCCCTGGGTCTTGCTGGATCAACAAAAATTACCCAACCATCCAGGTACTTGGCATTCATTTCTTCCCGAGCTTTCTCAGCTTCTTCTACTGTTTCATAAGTAATAAAACCAAACCCCTTTGGTTTTCCAGACGCTCGATCCATGATCACTTTTGCTGCACAATAATCAAGATAAAAAATCAGAAATTGGATCTTGTAGGAGATTGGACATAATAAAAGCAATATTCAAAGGGCAGCCATAGGATGAGAATTGTTCACCGTCAAAAAGCCTTCCAAATGGTGCAAACGCATTGAAAAGACTTTCATCAGTTGTATTTTTTGATATACCTGCACCATCAAATCAAATATAGCAGTTAGTCATTTTCAAGCCACGGTCTCTGCTAAAGATGCCTTATTTTAAACAAGATGAACAGAAGTCAATTTCTTATTTTAAACAAGTTAAAAAGATGTCAATTTCTAAGGCAACTGCCTGGCTTCCACTCACTTCCTCAGCGCATATACCCTCCTACAGCTCAAAGGCAGAAAAGGTAAACCATTGTTTGTCATACAAATGATGGTAGGCACTGACTGAAAATACCACCACACTAGTCTAAACTTTCTCTTTGCTCATTTACATCTTTAACGTGATTTGTTTTACCAAGTATTTTTCTTCTTCAGGTTCTTTTTGTTCTTTATTGATAAAGAAATATCAGCATTCACATTAGTCAACCTACTGCAGGACCAGCTCTAAACCTTCATGCTGCAATATATTAAAAATACATTTTTGTGAATGCCAAAAAGGATGATTAATCTAGCCTAAATTTTAATGTACGTGCTTGGCAAAAAGAGGTCACGAGCATCAGACACAGAACGGGGAACTTCAGGAACCCTGGCATATAAATATCCTATTATTTGTGGCTGTAGACCACCCATGTGTAGTAATATACCTCTTTACCGCAGATAAGACAAGAAAAACATTTCTCTCATGTAGACTAGACAAAGCTACAGACATACAGAAGATTAAAGACATATCTGGCCAAAACTTGTAGTTTATAAAGAGTGTTTGTTTAATGGTACAAGGGAATTGCAATATTTTTAAGGTGAAAACTGCTTTAGGTGAGACGTGCAACAAGCATTGGAGATGGACAAAACACACACATTTCTATTCTTGGTTTCTTCCGGCTTATTTGTCTACAAGTCCTATCTAACCAATAATTAAGTCATGTCATGTGTGCTGTGTCTGTGTACACAAAAATAAATCAAAGTCGATCAGTCTAGAAGCTTATCTCAGTAGAAGAATGCTACAAATCAAATATAACAATGAATCATTTAATGCAGAAGCTTCTGGCCATATAGCAAGATCTTAAATTCCCATTCAATTTGTCTTTATTTGTTGTTTTAAATTCACTAATTTCCACCTCAAGCTCGTTTTCCAGATTTCCAGCTTCTAAAAGGTACATTAAATTCTTTAAAATATTAACCAGGAGACATATTGCGGGAAAGTAGAGAAATACTTGAACATTTTACATGCCATTACATCTAGAGATGGCCAAAGAACCTTTATTTTTCTAACAAAATTGTGGAGTATCAAAAGTCTCTTAATTCAACATCAACCATACCCAGTGTTCCACTTCTTTCTACATAACGTAAATATTCCAAATTGCATAAAACCGTGAAGAAAGTACTCAAAAAGTAAACCAATAAACACTGACAGAAGAAAACTCAACAAAGTTCAGACTTCAAGAAAGATGAAGATTTAGGTGTTTTAACTAGTATTACGAGCAAAAGCAAAGTATATCGTAGATACGTAATTACGTGTGTATGAAAGCATACATACCGCTAATGAAAAGCTTAGGACTGGTGAGCGTAGGGAGGGTAGAACTGTGGCGAATCCAAGCGAACTGTGAGCGAAAAATCGGCGAATGCGTAGAAGATCCGGTCAGAATACGACGGAAAGCAGAGGTATACGCCATGTTGATTAAGAATTTCTGATTGAGATTAAGCAAAATGGATGATATTAACTATAAAATAGCAATGCAAATGGTGTCTGATTTAGGGTTCAGGGTTTGCAGAGAGGGCGAATGTAAATAGTAAGCCTCTGATTTTGGAAGAACATCCGACGTCGTATTGGAATATTCGAGACTGGTATTGTCAGTGGTGATACAGTACGTGCGGGATTACAAGTTGTCATGTGCTCGAGCATTATCAACCGTCTGATGCTTTGACATTACTATTTTTGTATTAGCGAAAAATCTACAAATTTACGTAGAAATTTATTTTTGAATAAATGAATAGTACTCGTTTAACCGTTGTAATGTTAAATTGAGAATGAAGTTTAGTCATTACTTGTAATTTATAATTTTTATCAAACATATGCTTAAAGGGGACAGTGCACCTCTCTATAAGTAGGGTCAATAGTACAAAGTTCTACTTCTCATAATGTTTGTTGTTGGTCATTAAACTTTTAAACGATTATGATTAGTCATTGAAATTACCAAATATTACATTATCCATCACTTTGTCATCAATTGTTAGGAAATTGGATGGAATTGATGAATCGGATAACAAATATTCATATATTACACCTTTAAAAGATAGTTTTCGCTACGTCATCGATATTCAATGGCAAGCTGAAACATTGTAAAAAAATACGGTGGTCAATAAAAATATTGTGAAAAGTACAATGACCAATGCAATATTCAACTCATACTTTTTCTCTCTTGTATTTTGAATCTAGGATTTTACTACTGACACATAAAAAAATGTACATAAGCAATTACCGAAAATAACTTGTAGGGAAAAGATTGGATTAAAAATATTGATATACATGTAGCAAAATCAAATTTTGTCTAATGTGTTCGAATTGATTTAATTAAAGGAAGATATTAGTAATGTATTGATGTACTATACACTTCAATAATTGGAGCATGTTAAGCGCCCGTTTCATCCCCATTATTTTCTCATTATAATGAGAATTTGATTTTGGAATAGTAATTTTTTGAAAAATGTGCGACTAAAAATGAAGGAAAACTTTTAGGTTACGTATAATATCATTGTATTGGATAATGTGTGGTTAATAAGAAGAGAGAAATAAATTATAATCGAGTCTGTTTGATGCACATTAAAATGAGAGAATGCATTTTTTTTGAAGTGATGTGATGGCGAATATGTGGTTGAAAAATAAAGAAAAGTTATTGATGTGATAAAAAATATTAATTTATTTAAGAATGTATATTTGAAAATGAGTAGAAAAATGAAAATGAAAAAAATAATGTTGCTGAAACACGTGTCAAACAAATGTTAAATTAAATGCAAGGTTAAATATTTTATAGGCCACTGTACTTTTCACAACGTTTTTCATTGACAAACTTTAATGACTTGACAAAAACTAATATTCAAAGGTGTGTATGAACATCTATTATCCATTTCATCAAATTCGTCTATTTTTTAATGGTTGATTACATAGCGACTAATGGCATACCAACTCATAAGTTCAGTAACTAGTCATAAAAATTTTAAAGTTCGGTGACCAATAAAAATACCATGAAAAATATATTTATCATTGGTACAAATTTAGAGTCGCCAAACATGGTCTATGCATCTTGTGTTTTCCTGTCATCGATATCCCAATTTGACATATTGAACTCTAAGTTTGTTTGTACTTCTCCAGATTCCATCATTGCTTCTTCTCCGGGAAAAAAAGTTCGCGATCTGTGGGCCTTCTACCTTCACGTGCCATTGCTCTGTCAATCAGGCAGTGTGACTGATCATCCTCGCTCAATAAATTCGACTTAATTATTGCCCACATATGATTAAAGTCTATTTACTTGACATGAATGGAGACGACAAAATTATGAATTGGCATAATCGTAGACCATAGGTAACTGAACATTATTGGATTCTTTAATTTAAGATTTTTTTAATGTAGAATGGTTCCATCTCAAATCAATCGGAAGAATAATTTTCCTATGACAGGACATGTTCTTAAGCTTTTAGAATTTTGAATGAAGCAGCTTTCTTGATTTTGTCATTTGACGTAAAATAATAGTTTGGTCCTTAAAATGTGCGCGTGTGTGTGTGTTTTTTTTTCCTATTTCAATTTTCGGGAATTTCATATTTTTAGTCAATATAGTTAATTACAAGTTAGGGTTATCGATGGTAATAATTTTTTATTGAATAAAATTAAGTTTTATTCTCAAATCGGAAAATGAAAAATCGAAAATCGAAAATAATGGAATAGATTAAAATATTCAACTTAAAAGGGATAATAATAAAAGCATGATTTTAAAAGTTAAATGTGCTAATTATGACAAACAACAATAATTTTTGAATCAACGATGGATATTAAAACTTAAAAAGTACAATCTTTTGTTCAATCTAGTTTAGCATCATTTACGCTTTCTATGATTTGAGATCAAGATTGAAAATCACAAAGCACAATCCTGATAGTTTATGTGATATGCTACGCGTGATTCGAGCTTCGACAATTACTAAATTACCCTTAATGACTTCTCAACACGTCATTGTTTCCTCCTATGGATTGTTTGGGTGCAACCAATATTCAACGCATGTATAATTTTGTGAATACTTTTTAATAGAATAAATTAAAAGTTGATTATATGAGTTTTTAGTATTTACTAGTCGGAGTTGAACGTACATTTCACGTTATTCTGAAATACTTTATAATTGTTGTAAAAGTAACATTTGATATCAATTTGTTGAGAGGATTTGATAAGTCTGAAACGAATTAAGGAAAATAAAATTTAGGATATTAATTTAAGAGAAAAAAATTGTACTCTCGAAATTCAACTTCTATCATTCAAATTTTTCTTGATGATGAAATTCTACATTTGATACATAAGAATTAATTGCTAATACTTGAATTTAAACACCCATTAAAATTTCTAAATACATGAATAAAAATAAATTCATATATAGTAACTCTAGATTCATGTTAATCAAGATTTATTAAATCTAAATTAATGTGAATATTAATCAATTGAAAATTAATAACAAGAAATTCATACATGACAAGAAAAAACCGAATTATGTTTAGTTTTAAACAGTAAAAGACCAATACTAAAAGCTCCCAATTGATGTTTCATCAATAATCACGATGATGAATAACATTATTCCTCGAAATTATAGTAGAAATGAACGTTGAGTCAAGCGATTGTTGGAACCCGTTTGGCAATACTTTTTAAAAGTCAAAAATTACTTTGGAGATTAAGAGATTTGTTTTTGAACATATTTCGATAATTTTTTGAAAGTAGTTTTTTTAAATAGAAGAATTATAGATGAAGTTGACCTAAAATAACTTTTTCAAAATCTCTTTAATAAAAAAATAGAAGAAAAAACAGTAACTCTATCAAATAGACCTCAACGATTAATCTTATTTTCTTTTTAAAATTGCAAATTGAAAAATCCAACGTTTTAAATTACGTATTGTCAGAATTACATTGCGTAGCTTTTTTCATCAGAATCCCAATGTGAATGGATAAATCTTGACTAAACCTTATTATATAAAGGCACTATCCTAACCACTCTCTACCTCCAAATTCATAACCCAACTGCTAATTTCCTCCTCCTCCTCCCACCACCGCGAGAAAATGTCTCAGAAAACTGGCGGCCGCCACCAGAGGAGGCCATCTCAAGGTGCTTTCNTTCCTCCTCCTCCTCCCACCACCGCGAGAAAATGTCTCAGAAAACTGGCGGCCGCCACCAGAGGAGGCCATCTCAAGGTGCTTTCGCCTTTCCAGACAACTTCTCCGATCCTCTTACGGAGGACATTGGCGGTGGAGATACCAAAATGCCTCCACCTGCAACAGCTCCACCACCACAACAGAGAACCCCCGGCAGCGACGGATGTTCTTTGCCACCACCGCTTCCTCCCAAGTCTATGGAGGGAATGCCGGCATCTGATCATAATGGGAAGAACAAAGCTTGACTCCTGCAGGGATGAAATAAATTAGTTTCTATTAGTTCTTTTTCCCTGATTAATGTAAGATATTATCCTAATTAATAATTCAAAAGTTAAACTGTCAGATTTGCCGTTTCGATTTCTTGCTTTCTGCAGTTCATTTAATTCTTTATGGTATCTTTCCGTTGCATCAATCGTTCGCCGCTTTGATCCAATTCCGTTTGTTTGATCACTCTATCATATCAGATCAGATCATTTTCCTTGTATGTATATATAAAATAAAATTTATTGGCTTGAGAAAGAATAAATATGTAAAGATACTTGTTACACCACCAGCAAGGAGGAGGTCGATCGAACCATGTGTCGATTGACTAGGTGATTGGGAAGGCTCGATCGACCATGTGTCGATCCGCACCACATATGTTGATCCTAAGAAGATGATCGAACCATGTGTCGATTGACTGCGTGATTGGGAGGTTGGGCGACCACGTGCCCTGCCCACACCGTATATGTTGACCTTAAAACACCAAGAGGATATCGAATTAGTGTTTGTTTCCGCTTCTAAATTAAAATTTGATCAACAAGTCCAAAGAATGTATGAATATAAAAAGTAGATAGTAATTGTTTGTTCTTGAAAATGTGGAATAAAAAGTACAAAAACTTAATTATAATGGCAAGATATTTACCATCGTGATTCCAGGGTTGGAAACGCGTATCTTTCGAGGATTTCAAGATGAGAGATGTATGGATACAAATAATCCAACTATAAATACATATTATAATGATATCAAGTACTTTTCGTTTATGAAACGTTTACCCGTTTGGCCCCCACATTTTGAGATGGATAGTAATTTTTTGAAAAAAAATGTATAGTTAAAAGAAAATGAAATTTTTTTGGATTTATTTATAATATTATTTTATTCAAAAATGTGTTATTATTAAGGAAAATGAATTATAATTTAACGTGAGCAAATTGGGTTTAATATCCCCCCAACTAATTTTTTTTAGTTAGAAAAAAAAATTATGTAAAAAAAAAAATCATGTGTAATTTTT